TAACTCCACTCTAATTTGGCATTTCCGTCCAACAACCGATGCAATTTCCAAGGAAATCGAATTTTCCCGCGCAAGTGTTCACCCCCACTCTACGCGAGAATTAATAACACGTCACGTGACACATTGTCGATCGCATTGTGCCATCCGTGAACAAAGAGATAAGGAAAATACAATACCGGATTGTTTCATTTCCAGACCATTGATCTTATAAAATTAGGTTAGAATTAAGTATATCGTAAATTGAATCTAAAACTATTTTTTTTTTCGAAATGATGTTAAGGAAAAAAAGTTAGGTTAGGTTAGTAATTTAAAGTTTGGTGAATGAAGATTGGATTCATGGAAATTTGAAAACTATGGCAGAATTAAAATTTCAAAATTATCTCTTCAAGTTAAAAAGAAAAAAAATTAGGATAGATCAAAGTTAGATTAAATTAATAAATTAAAATTTGATAAATCAATATTGGAAATTCAATTCGTGGAAATTCAAATACGATGATAGAATTAAAATTTTAAAACTATCTCTTCAAAATCATTAAATAAAATATTTCAACACTAAGAAAGAAAAATTAGGTTAAGCTAAATTAAATTAACAAATTAGATTTTTAATAAATCAAAATTGGAAAATTCAAAGAACATAGTAATACTTGGATTTCAAAATTAATGATATTCTTAAATAATATTTCAATATTAAGAAAGAGAAATTAAATTAGGTTAGGTTTCAACAAATCAAGAGATCAAATCACAAAAATTCAAAAATTATGACAAAATTAAAATTCCAAAAACTGTCTGTTCAAAATCATTCAACCCATTGAAAGGACACGATACTTCACGCCAAGAAAGATTAGGATGAATTGAGAACAGAAGAAAAGGTCGATCCCCTGAGAATTTAAATCTCACCTCTTAACCTCGCGGAACGCGGAAGCCACTTCGAGAGGTTTCTTACTTTCGAGCCTCTTCGCCTCCACCACTTGGAAAAATAATTTCAGAGAAATGAAACCGAGGAAATTGCTTTGATTAAAATATCGAGAATCTCGTAGACGTTGGAGATTAGGCTACGGTCAAGGTCCAGGATATTGTGTCATAAATTGAACGGAATAGAAACTTGGCTATTCCGAGTTTAATTTTCATCGTTTAGATATAAGAAGGAAAAGTGGGATTACGCCTTCGACCGACATTGTTTTGCTCTGTAATCACATTTTTATGTCGATACGGAATATTGTTCAGGAAGGAAATTTATTGATGATTTATTTTGCCCTTGGATTTATTAATCAAGGAAGGGATGAGTGTAGAAACTGTAGGAAAAGTTTTAGAGAACTTGTCAGTTTCGAGAAAGACTTTTTGATAGATTAATGATGGAATGGTATTATGATGGATTAAGAGATTATGGATAATGAAAATTCAACGTCGAATTTATCAAATTTATTAATATTTTGATCGAAATGTTAATATTATGTATTCATATAATTTTTAATGCAATGCAAAAAAATTAAATATCACATATATAATAAATAAAAAAAGTTTGATTTTAACAAATTTTAACTCGTACTAATTAATTAAAATTTAATTAAATAGTAATATAAAAATATTAAATCTCTTCATCTATTCATATATCATAAATTTATCAATTTTCTTCAAAATTTTAAACATTTGTTATTATTTTAATACACAATAACCAAATGATATATTCCAAGAATTTGTGAACTTGGCTAAAAGTGAGGTTAGACTCTTATAACCTAAATTTATTGATATAACTAAAAATAAAGTTCCTATTAATATTTATACCATAAATTCTTTATTAATAATAATATAAAAATTATTACAATATATTATTACTGCCAATATACATATAAAGAAAATTAAAATAACACAAATTCAAGAATGAATTAATCACCACTGCCTAACTTCACACGTTTCTCACGAAGCTAAATAACGGAACAATTTAATCACGGGTGAGAACAGTGTCTTTCCGAGGCACGACGTGCTGCGAACTAATTTTTCACCATGCCAAGAGAGAGAAAGAGAGAAAGTGTCTACCTTGGTAAATTGATAGCTTCCACGTTTCCAGTCCACGCGATTCTCTCTACGCGATCATTAAGATACACGAAGAGTCGAAGCGTGACGTTCCTTCAAAAAAAAAAAAANAAAAAAAAAAAAAAAAGAAAAGAAAAGAAAAGAAAAAAAGAAAAAGAGAGAAAAAATAGGAGGAAATATTCTCTTTTTTCGCGTTGAGTGACGTTTCGTGGTTCTACCCAGCTGACCCAGCTTGCATTTCCAATTCTCCAAGATCTGGCAACACGCCTAACGACGCGACCGCTTAATGACCAGAGAGTTTTTGGCGTACTCCCTCTCTCCCACATGCTCGAGAAGGAGGGCGAATACAGAGTAAGAAGGCGGTTGGTACGACCGGAAGTGGTATGGGTGAAATTTAATCTACCGTCAACTCGAGAGTCCAACGAATCGCAAATCGAATTTTCCTCGTTGACCTTAAGCCTTAGGGCCTGACCCGGAGATTCTTGAGGACAGTTTGCCGAGTTCTTGTGAAAATCTCGAATAATCTTAAATCTATCTTGTCTTTCTTCGAAGATATTTATCGTATTCATTGAAATTATCGATTTTTTGAGAAAAAAAATTTTTTTTTTGATATAGAATATTTTTAGAGAGAGAATTAGGAATTTATGGGGGGATCGAAAAATATTAGATTTTTTTTTTTTTCTAAAAGAAATTTGCGCAGGAATTTGTAATGATAAAAATTCTTTCCTTTAAAGATACCTTTCCAATGAAATGGTGTTGTATAAAAATATCAATGAACACGAAGAAACCAAAAAATTTCTTTCCTTATCTATCAGTGTTAGAGAATTCGCGAGAAAGAAAACCTCAGCTGGCTTGAAGATAATGAAAGGAGTACGAGGAGTACGAATGGCTGAAAAGTATAAAAGTAGAGACAGAGTCTGAGAGAACATGGACACGCTCCAGGAAGTATGAGAATTCCGGGGTGGAAGGAGGCGAGAAAGTGGGTGGATGAGAATTTTCGTTAAAGAATGAACGAACGAAGAGAGAGAGAGAGAGAGAGAGAGAGAGAGAGAGAGAGAGAGAGAGAGAGAGAGAAAGGAGAAAGGAGAAAAAATTGGAGAGATAGAAATGCACGAACTTGCCTCTTTGCCCCTGTATATGTGTACGTGCGTGAATGATATAAATTCTTAGAAGCACATCTGAGAAGCGGTTACGTGATCGCATGATATAAATGCAAGAATGGAGGAAAATGAGGGTGGAAAAGAATCGCTCAGAAAAATGTTCGTCCTTCGTGAACCGGAAGCGATAGGTGTAAAGGGATAGAAGTGACAAATCGTTAAAAGAAAATTAATTTGGTTTTATTTAAAATTGATCAGAATCAAATTTATCATATTTGAGAAATTATTTATCTGATCTTTTTTTTTTTTTGAATTACAGATTTATAATATTTATTTGAATATAATATAGATAGATGATTATAATTAATATCTCAATAAATTCAAAAAATCAATAATGAAATTTCAATTCATTATTTTCACTTCTATTATATTTTAAATTTATAAAATTGAAATTAATCAAAACTTATATAAATTTATTTTAAAAAATAATAACCCCCTTTTTCATTATAAACTCTAAAAGAAACGCAATTTTTAAATTATTTATATTTTTATTTTCAAAAATAAATAACGACACATCAATTTAATATCAATTTTCGAAATTCTGCAAATGAACGTAACAAAAATAATCAGATCATCGATAACGAGTATAAAACCTGACTTTTAAAAGGTCAAAAAGTGTTAAAATTCGCTTTTTCCAAAGCACATGTTCACGTTTGACATAAAAAACAAAAAAATTTCAATTTCCGATTCGTCGCATTCCTCATGAATAATTTATGAAAGGAAATTGTTCGATAGTTCCTTTAGGAAATTCGAAAAATATTCTTACCGCAATTCGTATTCGTAAAAAGTCGCCATATCTTCGAATCCTAAAAATTTTTCTGAGCAAGAAAATGTGTATGTACGTGAATATACGTATGCACATGTGAACATATTGATGAGAGATTTTCAATATATGTTGTAGTTTACATATACGTATAGGTTGATGAAAAAAAGACATAATTATCTGATATCATAGTATAGTAGCATGTGGCTTATTTTCATTAGCCTAATACATATTTTTTAATACAAACATACGAATTTTTTTATACAAGTATCGAAATATATATTTACAAGTATATTATGTTAATATATTCATATTCTGTTCTCTGTGATTATTAATGAATATTTAAGTACATTTACACAAGTAATTTGCAATGTAAATATGATTTTCTAGATTACAGATAATAACAAACAAATGAATTAATGAAGCTTATTCAAGAAATCGTCTATTTTGTTTTTGATTTGATAATATGCATATGATAATGAATACATAACAATGACGTGTAACAAGTGTCACGTGAAAAGTAATAAAATTACTAAAAAAAATAGAGTCATATTATTATCACTTGCAAGAAAATCTTAATAATCCTTTTTAATTTTACAAATTATTTTTATCAATTTTTTTAAATATCCATTATATCCCAATAATTACACAATGAAATAAAACATAAATATAAATTAAACTCGAATATTTCGATACACCTGTATTAAAATTCACAATTTCAAATAACAATCGTGATATACATTTCAATGCATATAGGAAAATCATCATCTCTAGTGTGAATGTCATGAGAATAGATAGAGCAGTGTGTCGAACGTGTGCTACAGAGAGAGAGAGAAAAAGAGAGAGAGGCTAGAAAGGGAAGAAAGGTAAAGGAGTAAGAAAGAACGAAGAGAAAGAGGAGATAAGGGAGGAGAATATAGGGAGAATATAAAAAAAAAAAAGAGAGAAAGGAGAAAGGCTCCGGCGGGGGCCGCTCGTCCATGAACCGAGGACACTGATCACATCCTCCTTGGACTGATCGGCTCTTTTTCTCGCTTCCTGATCCGTAGGTACGTCTTCACGATAGTGAGCTACCTGATCGGCGTCTTCATATTCGCGACGATCGTCGGTCAAGTTGGAAACGTGATTACCAACCGGAACGCGAATCGGCTGGAATTCGAGAGACTGTTGGACGGTGCAAAGACATATATGAGACACCATAAAGTACCGGGCGGGATGAAGAGGAGGGTGCTGAGGTGGTACGACTACAGCTGGTCCAGGGGTAGGATACAGGGTGGAGGTGACATCAACACCGCTCTCGGATTGTTACCTGACAAATTGAAGACCGAATTGGCGCTGCATGTGAATCTGTCCGTATTGAAAAAAGTCACCATATTTCAGGTGAGGTCTTGCCGAATTTGATTTCAAATAAGTGTAATATTTTGTTTGGATGGTGAGTGAATTATGTACACGTTGTGCTTGTTATTTATTGTTTATCAGTTGTTAATCTATATAGGATAATTGTTCTAAGACATTTCTCTTTCTCTTATTACATTAAAAAGGTATTATTAGTTCTAATATTTTCACATTCTTGGCTTGTAAAAGATATTATTGATTTAAACTTGTAATTAAAAAATAATTTAATTTAAATATTATAGAAAAGATAATTCATTTCGTGACTTTTAACAGTTAAAAAAATTCTAATTATTTTCTTTGTAATGTCATTTATTTTGAAATATTGTGTGATATTATAAACAAAACATTTGGGACTGTTAATTTATATTACCATAAGATTTATTCGATGGATCGATGACTTGAATAAATAATTCTTCAGCCGGACAAGGTTTTGTAGTATGGCTTTCAATTTCAAGGAAAGCATTTTTAATCAAAACGTTGAACTATAGTGGGAAAAGGAATGCGATGATTGCTTGAATTATTAGTAAATTCCCTCGTTTCTCTTAGAAATAGTAGAAATAATCCTATATAAAGGGGGATTCCAACGTGACTATTGATTTCTATTCAATATTTAGCTTTTGTTTCTGCTATTTAAATTGTTAAAAATGTTTAAAAGGAAAGTATAAATTACCAAAATATATTAATTATCAAATATATTCTTTAAAGCTTATTATAAGATTTGAAATTTGAAAATCCTTAAAATCGTTAGATCTTTTAATTATCAACATTGGAGATTATTTTCATCCCTTATGAACACCCTTATGAAGTTTCTCAAGCTGATAATATAAATTATAAACGCTTAAATTATAAGGTTAATAATTATAGAAGAGTTATGTATTCTATACGCAAAATACAGCTAGATTTAATTTTTTCAATGATAAAAAGAATCAATGAATGGTTCATAAAGTACCAAAAACTTGTTTTTTAATGTAATTTAAGAAACTGTTTTTATTTTACAGTTAAAAAGATTTATTTATTATTGAGATTATATTGTTAAGGGTTCAATCTTGTTATGCTTGTTTACCATACAAGTTAACAATAGGTCAATTGAACCATTGTTTGCTAATATAATACATAGGAAGTAAGGCTTGTTTGTTTAACACGAAACATTAACTAACCTATATTTAGTTGGAAAAATGTTTCAAGAAGATACACCCCTTGTGTTAAGTTAAATTGTTTCAGAGACTGATTTTATCGTTATCATTTTATCAACATTATCATCAAATTTAATTCAAATTTTTAATCTTGAGTATAATTTTAATTTTTATTATAAACTATAGATTTTGAAATAAATATTTTTGTTTCTTCGAAAAAAATAAAATAAAATTATCGAAATATTTATATGAAATTTAATAAATGAATCAAGGGAATGAAGAATTATAAATATTTATAACGAAATAATTGGTTTAAATTTTAAAAATATCGATATTTCGCGATAAACGTTAATAACAATAATTTCATGGATATATGCTTGATTCGAGTAGCCATTCGATCTCAACATCAACTATAAGCAATTTGGGAGCTAGCCCCATTAGAAGATCAGTTGCCCTCGAGTCGTGTCGGGTCGTATGAGAATTCATGCTTGAACATACCGAATTGAACTGGAATTGCCATTAAACGTGATCGATAAGGTCTTTACGTATTTCATCGTCGATTTTATCCAAATCGAAATGACATTCCAACGATAAATATGTTAAATTATCGAATTAGTTACTTTAATTACAATTGCAATTATAATATATATTAAATATTATCGCTAATATTATTGAAACAACATTTATATTAATTTAATAAAAATATGCATTATTGAATGAAAAGTTAATGAATAACTTATATAAACTTACATAGTTCAAGAATTTTTTTATATATTTAAATTTTCGAATCGATGAAATCATTAATGCGTATGATATTTTAATCTAACCTATTAGATGCAATATCATCTTCATCATTTCTTGAAATTATTTCCGTCAAACGAGTATCTATATTTCTTTATACACAGAAAATAAACGAAAAAAAATACACAACTTTCGATCAATTAATCGAATGAATTATTAACCTCAAATTGTTGAAAATTAAATTACAATGTACAAAAAGTACATCCGAGCTTGTAGTTTGAAATAATATTAAAATCCCGAAAACTATCGAAGTCGCCCGATATCATCCGATCCCATCCGATTCTATCCGATTTTGCCCGAATTTTTCCGTACTGACTCGAAATTCGGATTTTCAAATCTCGAGCAAAATTGTACACTCTTGATACACTATTTATTACTATTAATGCAATATATTTAAAAATTACTTATATATTCAATATGCAGTATATAATAGAACTTATTGATTATAATTTTTTCTTCACTTTCTGAATATTGAATATTATATGAATATTATATTCATATTCATATAATATTTATCATTACTTAAATTTTACATCTGCTTCTCAGATACTTTTTTTCATATATCTGAATAGATAGATAATACGTATAAATTGAGCTATATATTATATATCTTTCCTATCGATTATTGTCAATATGGTGGTGATAATAGAGAGAGGCAAAGAAAATAAAGACATTGAAATAGGAACAAAAAGATATGAGATACCATTCTCTCCAGTTGAAATATCTTCTTATTTTATCCTCGTCTTTCTATGAACCAGCTATATGGCGAAAGGGCGCTGATGATATCTTCAACAAAAAGGCATCAAAGTCCTATTTATTGGACTTTTAAACCGTATCAAATGATTTTCCGATAAATTTCATTTATAAAAGAAAATAATCGTTTTTAATTTTTATTTTAATATTTTTAATACTTTTTTAATATTATATTCTTTTTGAATCACATTCAAATTAAGAAAAATAATTATGCAGTATAAATTCTGAATCATATCAAAGTTCTTAATCTTCATAATATTTTCCATTAAAAAATAAAAAGAAATATTTCTACTCTCCGTTTTACGGTCGTTCTCGTATTAAAAATATAAAAATACAAAAGTTAATGGATGGTCTATTTCGTCAGAAATACAAGCCATACTTTTGATATAAATGATTTAAAAAAATACATACATAAAAATGTAGCTCGACTACACATTCAAAAAAGAGAGAGAAGAAATTCTACTTTTTCGAGAACAAATTTATCTTTTTCTTTTTTTCTTTTTTATGATGTACACTCACTCCATCCACGAGTTATCTATTATATTTAATATTTAATACAACAATATATAAATCTCTCTTTTTTTTCATTCCATTTATCCATGGAATACTTTTTGGAGAATCGATAAAAAGTCAAAAAATTAGCATACAAAAATTTCGATTAAGATTTATTTCTATAAAAAAAACAATTTGTGCGAGACAGCTCTTTCTTTGTCGCACCACCATTTCTCTCCGTATCTCCGTCTCGCTTCGACTAACGCAAACCTCGTAACCCGTAAATCAACCAACATTTCTATACAAAAAGTATATCGATTTTCCGTATTTATTCCGATCTCGAAAATATTCTTACGAATATATTAACATCCTGTATTAATATCGATATGATATTATAATTTTCACTTATTAGATAAATTGAAAATTTACAGGTAGATGAAGAAACGTGTTTATGTTACGTATAATCATGAAAGAAACATTCGAGAATTATAGCACCTAGTCTGAAGAAACGATGTACCCTCGTAAAAAAAGGGAAGGGGGGAATGGGTAGGTACTTTTAATCCATCGTTTCTGAGAACGTCGCGATAAAAACCAACGATGCTCGGGGAAAATTGAGTGTTTTTTTGTTTTCTGAGAAATTGAAATGCAAAATGTCGATTGTTAGATAGATTTTAAAGTTATTCATTTATCGATTACAATTCTTTAATCTTTGATCGAGTGATCGATAGTTAACTTGATTTATAATTGAAGTTAAAATTCAACAGGATATAGGATGGTCATTTTAAATCTTGGATGCAATTATTCTTCAAGAGACGATTCCCTCTTCCCCTTCTTCCCATAGAGAATTATGGATATTTTTAATTTTTAATTTTTAAAGAAAATTGTAAAAATATTTTTGAATGAATTATGACGAAAAAAATTAAGAATAATCGTATATAATATTTATTCTTTAATAATACAGGGACACACAACTCCCACACGTATTTAACAAGAAAAAAAAAATACTATTAATAGTACAACGCATTGCTTGTATAATTAATATTTATAATGTATACAATAATATCAAGAGTAAACGTACACGTGCAAAGTTATAATATTTATAATCAAACAAATGGAAACAATAATGAGTTTGTTTAAAAAGAAAAAAGAAAATTAAAACACAAAGGATAAAATTTCAAAATTTTTTCTTCAATCTCTGATTAACAATTTTAAAAAATATTCTCAACTTGTTGAATCTTTTGATAAGGACTTTATAAAAAAAAAAAAAAAACTTTACAAAAATTTTCCATCATAAATTCCATAAATTGTACAATTTGTTAAAATATCTAACATCACTGCTTTCTTAATTGAGAATTTAAGAATCGAAGAAGCGTAGAATTTAAAGGAGAGGGAGAGATTAGAAGATAAGATAATAATTGTTCACGAAGAACAAAGCTACATTTCCCTTCGTCAATGCGGTAATAAAAGTTTCTTAGAGTAACGAGGGAACAAGAGTTCGCACTTGTACTCTCTTTTTATGGGTCATAATATAGCCGAAGATACAACCGCTTCTGTTCGGTTGTACGTGTAAGCAAGGTTTGCAAGTATAATGCGTTCCGTACTCGAAAGCACGAGCGAAAGAATAACGAGATCCGAAAAAGAGAAGTTCTTATCTCGTAAATTGTCTCTTGCCTTTCGTCACTTTCATCGTTGCGTTTTATCGCTCGGTTTTTTAATGGGATAGTTTTAATCAAAAAGAAAATATTTATGTTTATGTTTCAATGAGATTAATTTTCGTTCTTGTCCTTGTTCGCTTAAAATTTGATT